ACCCAGCCTCACTTCCACATTTTTAAATAAATGACACTGCATATTTCTTTTCCCAAAACTGGCAGACTTGTCAGCTTGTTACAGAAGAGGAAGCATTTGCTGATTTGCATTGCTTGCTTTGACAGATTTTCTGAGTTTTTAAAATGAGAGTTTTGCTTTCTCTCTGGGGCATCCTTTTAAAAAAATGCTCCAGCATAATTTGTTTTTTAAAGACTCATTTTTTTTCACATCTGTCTCTCATAGAATCATAGAATAAAGGAGTTGGAAGGGGCCTATAAGGCCATTGAGTCCAACCCCCTGCTTAATGCAGAAATCCAAATCAAAGCATATCTGACAGATGGTTGCCTAGTTTTCTCTTGAATGCCTCCAGCGTTCGAGTGCTCACCATCTCTGAAGGTCATTGGTTTCATTGTCATACTGCTCTAACAACTAGGACTTTTTCCCCCCTGATATTTAGCCTATACCTGGCTTCCTGTAGCTTGAGCCCATTATTACATGTCCAGCACTCAGGGATGTTCAAGAACAGATTCTGTTCTTCTTCTAAGTATTTGACTGAGTATTTGAAAAGTGCTATTACATCTCCCTTTCAAGAACAGATTCCTTTCTTCTTCTGTATAACTAAGTATTTGAAATGTGCTATTACATCTCCCTTCGGTCTTCTTTTCTCAAGGCTAAACATGCCCAATTCTTCCAGCCTTTCTTCACAGGGCTTGGTTTCCAGCCCCCTGATCTTCCTTGTCGCCTTCCTCTAAACTCCTTCCACTTTGTCAGCGTCCTTCTTGAAGTGTTGGTGTCTAGAACTGGACACAATACTCAAGGTGAGGCCTAACTAGAGATGGGTATGAAGCTGGAGGAGGTAGAGAAAGGAAGTCCATGCTCCTGCTAGGATTGGAAAATCATGTGACAGGGAGGGAAGGAGCAACAGACGCCAGCTGGTGACTGGAGGTGCCAGTGAGGGGTGGGTGGGGGAAAGGAGAATACAGCACCGGTGGTGATACACTGATGATGTAGGACGACTCGGCAGGAAGTGCTTCATGCCCATCTCTAGGCCTAACTAGTGCCGATTAGAGGCGAATTTCCTGCTAGGACTGGAAAATCATGTGACAGGGAGGGAAGGAGCAACAGACGCCAGCTGGTGACTGGAGGTGCCAGTGAGGGGTGGGTGGGGGAAAGGAGCATACAGCACCGGTGGTGATACACTGATGATGTAGGACGACTCGGCAGGAAGTGCTTCATGCCCATCTCTAGGCCTAACTAGTGCCGATTAGAGGCGAATCAGTACTTTCTCACATCACTTATCTATTTACTTAAAAGTGCCATTCTGTTCAAGAGAGTCAGCACCTGCTAACTATTTTTAGGACTGCAGGGCTGTTATTGAAAATGTTTCCTAAGCTGCCTCCCATTCAATGGATTCCAGGGGGGTGTACAAAAGAAACAAGGCTTTGCCACAGGATCTGAGGAGCTAGAAGTTCTCCTACCTGGGTGGAGACACATCGGCTGAAATCCAGTAGCAACTAGAGTTGACTCACCATTGTGGCCTAGTGGCTAGAGTATTGGCTAAAGGGGACTGGGGAGATCCAAGTTCTAGTTCCCACCAAGCTATAAAACTGACTGGATGATTCTGAGCCCATCGCACAAACATATCCTCTCTATCTGACATGCCTGGCAAGGTTGTTATGAGCGTACATTTAGGACTAAGATTTGGGTTCAGTGCCGTGAAAGGGTGGTAACTACTTATGTATATAGACATGAACACTGCTTATGCTTTATCAGCAACTTTCTCCTTTGTCTTGCAGGGCTTGTCATTTATCATCTTCATCTGCTACATTGCCTCAACAGCTGCTCCTTTTTTGATGGTGCCCTTATTAACGTTCCTCTTGGCCCTGTGTTTTTTCTTTGCATACTCCTTAAAGCTTAACGAGAAATTCAAAGCAATCTACTGGATTCTGGCGGTGAGTGGGCTCAAGTGGAGCCTGTGACTTGATGATGGGTGGGCTGGGAGTCTCATTCTCTCTCCGCTAGCTTGAAATTGTCATCCACTGTATTTCAGTGGTAGTTATGGCTAGAGCCAAAAGGATGGGACCCAAAATAAGAGGACAGCTTAGCTTCCAGTTCCTACTTTCTTAAGAAAGATACTCTTTCTTAACTATTCTGAGTTTTGTACATTGTATAAAAAGGCCTTTTTATTACACTCTCTTCACAAGTCATTTGGTGAAATAAATGGTGAACTACAGTAGATCCATTGAATCAGTGGGGATCTGTTGAGTCAACTCCTTTGTAAGTTTCATTGATTCAGTGGGCCTACTCTGGTTGTGACTTAACTGCTGGATTTCATTCACTATATTCATCATTCAAAAAGAAGTTAGTCCATAATTGGTTTTCTCACATTTTGGTGGGGGAAAAGGTGGCAGAAAAAGCTTCCTGTCCTATCCCTGACCTTGCCACACTAGCAAATGTCATCAAATTAAATCCAACTTGGGCGAGGGCAGGTAATACACACACATCCATATATAGGACAGCTTTTGAAAACTTCCAGCAGTTGTTACTGACGAGTCCTCAGACTAACCACTAGATGCTGCTGCATCCCAATAAAATGGCCATATTTAGCAAAGCAGTATTGGAAAAATCCAATACGAGCCATGTTTGTCTTTCCTATCAGAGCTGGAAAAATTCCTTTTGGGGGCTGCCAGAAGACTCAAGTCCTTATAGCCAGCCAGCCACCTTGGCTGTAGGCGTTGGAAAGCTGCAGTCCTGAAAAGTTGTTTTTTCTAAGTTTGGTTTCTCTATGATCATTCATTATGACTTGACCCTAAGTATACAAAAACAAAAAGATTTATTGATTTATTTCATTTTTATACTGCCTATCTGGCTGAAGTCCACTCTGGGTAGTTTACAAGTAGCCTACGTTCTTTATAGAACATTGTAGTATAATCAGTAAAAGAATGAAGTGGCAGAGATGTGGTGAGGTGTGTTTTTTTCTTCCTTCCTATCAGAGCATAAATTAACATTAAATCTGTGAGCAAGGAATGTAGGCAGCTCTGAGAATTTCACATAGGGGCAATGTCTTCCCAGCCTCTAAAGTTTTTCTGTCTTAAATGACAACAACTATCTGCCTTTTTCCTTTTTTTTCCAAGGAGGGTTCTAATGATACTTGTTGCTCAAAGATTACACAGGCATGTGATGAAACACCTCTGAAGCCATGGGAGCAAGAGAGGTTTAGCACCTGCAGGTTTATGCGTCTACAACCCAATGCAGCTGCACACTGGCGTGTGGTGGTCTTCCATCTGAACCCCTATGGAACAAGAGCGCCTGTTGCAGAACGAAAGTCCTTTGGGGCATTCACTTGCTTATTCATTACTTTGCAGGGACACCAAACAAGACATGTCTGGAATTCTGTTGTGGAATTAGATAGCAGGCATAACTTTTGGAAGTGTAAGTTTTGGAATTGTAAGTTCAGAGCTTGCCCTATACACAAGCTATTGCCTGCTGAATCATGCAACTTGGTGTGCAACAGATCGTGACTACAGAGAGTTCTTAACGTATGGCAGTTCTCTACAAGTTACACATTTGCGTAACGGCACAACTGGATTTCAGCTGACATTTGTTTTTTAGTTACACCTTTCTCTCACTGACCTTATAGCGGTTTATATGGCTTTTCTTCTGCTCACTTCATCCTCACACCAACTCTGTGAGGATAAGTGTGACTGACCCAAAAATCACATAATGAGTTTCCATGGCTCAACAGGGAGTTGGAAACCAGCTCTCCCAAGACTCTAAACTAATATATGGCTTTTCTTCTGCCCACTTCATCCTCACACCAACTCTGGGACTGACCCAAAATCACATAATGAGTATCCGTGGCTCAACAGGGAGTCGGAAACCAGCTCTCCCAAGACTCTAAACTAGTTTACCACATGGGTTGCAGGTTGACTCTGATGTTTATGTTTTGGGGGCTAACTGTCTTTAATCTTGGTATTGATCCTGCTCATCCCTTCCTCTCTAACTACATTCTGATCTTCTTTTCTTTTATAGGATTTCCTATGTGGCATCATTGCTGCCATTATCTACTTTGCCATTTCCATTGCTGCTGTCTCAAAATATTCTGACACAGCATCCAAGGCAGCTGGAGTAAGTAAACATTTCGGGTTGGTTCCAGGTTGGAGCTTCCGAGATAGGGGAGGGAATACCCAGCCTTCCCAATGCTTTGGCTTACAATTCCCATCAGCCTCAGCCAACAGGGTTAATAATGGTGAGGGATTACGGGAAGAACAGTCCCAAAGTTCTGGCAGGCTGTAGGATTTCTACCCCAGTCTTAAAAATAACTAAGTATATATTTGTTGTTTCAGGGCCACTTATTTTACTAACCTGCAGACTTTCAGCAGTTGGCCAACAAAGACTTCCTGAACTTGAGTGGCAGCTTTAATTTAAACGCACAAAAGTGTGGTGTTTAAATGTGGGATTCAGCTCCCACATTTTAACAGGGAAGCATCAAATACAATGGGGAAAATTGTCTCAGTAAGGTATTTTCAGTTGGTTAATCTACCAGATATTTCCTGATTCTTCATATTCAGGATAGAAATAGAGGAAGAAAAAAAACTGAATGTACAAGAATTGAAAATGGACAGATTTGTCCATCTAGATTTTGGATAGTTTGCTCTTAAAATATCTGGGTGTGTATCCCTTCAGCATGTCTGTGGTAAATTAGGCTTGCCTCCTGTTTAAATGTAACCTCTGTATGGTGGGCAGATACTACACTGTCCCCTTCTTGCTAGGACTATAGTGGTCTGTTGAATTTGGGCTGAGCAGAAATTTCTGTTGGACTTAATAAAATTCACACATCTGTTTGCATTCAGGATGGTGCCTCGCTTAACGGGTGCCCTGTTTAACGACAAATCCGTATAGCGACAGATTTTTTGCGATCGTTTTTGCGATCGCATTGCGATGTTTCTAATGGGAAAAATCGCTTTGCAATGATTGGTAAGCTGTTTTGC